AGCAGGAATTCCGCCTGACAACTTTTCCCCCCTGCAGCCTCCCTCCCTCCAGCTCCCCCCAGCCCAAGCGGAACCCGGAACGACCATCCCGAGGCCTTACCGGCGCCTTCCCCGTCCTCCCGGCGCTTCCCGGAGCCCGGCGGGAGCCGGGAAGGGAAAAGCTTCCTGGGTGAGCGGGGCAGGGGAGGGAGCAGCCGGCAGCTTCCTGGCCGCCCGGTGAGCGGCCCGGAGCGCGCGCTGCCGAATGGGAGCCTCCGAGGCCGGAGCCTCCAATGAGCAGGCCCAGCGGCCGGGGCAGCGCTGGACGCGGAGGGTGGGATTTCTCCTCCTTCTCCTCCGCCGAGGAAGGCTCGGGGTGGGGAGCAGCGCGCGGGGCTGCTCCTTGGGGCTGTTCCCTCCCGGTGTCCCCGTGTCACCGCGCAGGGAACACCCAGCACAGGGTGTTGGTCACACTCACCCGGCTCAGCAGGAGACTCCATCCGCGCCCGGCGGCCGGAGCCAGGGAACGCTGCGGAGCTGAGCAAGGACATTCGGGACCAGGCACAAAGGAAGCCCCGTTGGAGCGGAGGCAGCGTCCAAGGCGACAGCGCTCGGGAATTAAATCCCAGGGAGCTGGAGCGGCGCGAGGAGCTGCCGCGATCTGCAAATCCCTCCCCCAGGACAGCCCGGGATTTACGGCGACCTCCTCGTCCCTGCGGAGCTGGGGCTCTCGGGGCCAAAGCGTCTCCTCAAGGATTTTCCTCCTCTGGGATAACTCTAGGACAGCTCCAACGTTCGGGACGAGAGGACCGGACTTCCCTGCGGCTGCCCAAGGAGGCTCCGCGCTTCCAAGGCAGTTGGATGGTTCTCCTGATGGCGCTGGGGGGAAGAAGGGCTAAAAGAGAACGTTAGCACCTTTTATAGCCAGTCCCTGTCCCGTAAAACAGGCTCCAATCAAAGCGGGAATGTTGAGTAACATTCTTTTAATTAATATGATAAAAAGCTGCTCTTAATCAAAAAAGGAAGACCAAGAAATGCTCAGCTATTCACATCCGGTTTGAATACAGCAGTAGCCCTCAGCCCTGCACAAATAGCTTCACTCCAATTCATCTATAGTACACAAAAAAATAACAATTAATTGCTTAATAAAAACGGCGCCACGCGACTCCCGCAGTTCCTCACTTCACTCACACGGGTTTCTTTGTTTTTCACATTTTTCAGTTTTCACCATTTCAGCAGACACCCACAACGGGCACCCTGCCTGCAACTACCCACGTGCATCATCCCCGCTGCACGCGCATCCCGCGCTCCGCTGGAAACACAAAGCTGAAGGTGGGAATAATGTTCTTAACTCTGGTCTGGAAAAAAAATGCAGGGAATCAGGCCACCTAAACACCCCGGTTCTGCTTACTGTGTAGTAAAAAGGAAAATGGTAACGTTGTGTAAGAGACAGCGCAGCTCTCCTGATCCGGCTCCGAAAAGCACGAGGAAACAACCCGAGACTTGAACAGGTTCTGAACAAGGAGTTCTCCAGCTTTTAAATACAGCCCAGAAAGAGCAAGCAGTGAAACCAGCTCATGTCCAAATAACGGGCTAACACCATCACCACCAGCATTGAAATACAACGGGAGCAGAGTCACATCCCCCAAACCATCTTCTGTCAGGATGTCTCTTCTTTTTCCAGAGATTAAGTATCAACACAGCTACCTATAAAAACTTACAGTTTCTTCAACTTGACAGATTTTTTTTCCCTTAGATATAAAATACACTATGCTTTGACTGCAAATGAAACAGAAAAGATTCCTAAGTGCTATTTAAATATTAACACGCCTATTAAACAACAAATGGAAGTGATATTGAGATCAGTTCTGTCAGCAGCAGCAGGACGGTATCTAAAACTGCTCCTTTGGTTCACTAATTTTTCTCCTTTTTGGCAGCACGTCTTGGCTAGAGGAGAGTTCAAACTGATGAACCTGCCAAGGAAGAACAAACACTGCGTTACGGGCCGCTCCGAGCCTGAGGCCAGGAGCAAACGGCCGCTCCGTGCCCTAATGGTGAGAAACGTCCCCAAACCAGAGGTACAAAGAGGTGCAGGGAGGCGGTGACACAGGGGCTGCAGCCCCAGCTCTACAGACCAGAGGATCCCCCTGGCCTAAAACATGGACCTGCCAAGGTCAGCTGGGAAGGACGTGGCAAGATGCAAAGGAATAATGGATTTCTCAGTAGGAATGAGTCACGTCTGAGGTTGGAATTAGGGCTCCGTGTTTTCCAAGTAAAATCACTGGTGATCACGCGTCATGGGATCTCTGCTGGCATGTGTTCCTATCAGCACCGGATTAGATCCACGGGGAATTTGGCTGAATGCAGCCTGAGGGGAGTCAGTCAATCCTAGGGACTGCGTCTCAGCCCCTGGAACGACTGCAATGCCGGGTTTTTAGTTTTTGGAAGAGACTTCCTGTTTTTGACACCAGGAATTCAAGTGTCTTGAAACTAATGGGAATTTTGTAAGCAACAAGCAGCTTGCTTTCAGCATGTTTTCTATTAAGAGCTTTATTCTCCCTTTGGAAGAGTAAAAACAGCTTAAAAAGAGCAAAAAGGACAGATATAAAACTGATACTAACAGTGCTGGTTTGAAATATCTTTCCACTTCTTGTCCTGCTCTCTGACATGTGAAGTTCAGACGTCTTATGTGCTAAATGATCCACCTAGAGCCAGAAAACAGATTATTTGCATTATGGCCGCAGCAAAAAACAGATTTGAGAGGCAAGTGCAGGGTTCGGCTCCCTCTGCGCTCAGCGCAGCGCTCCAGCTGGAATTTAGACACAGGAGTGTTGAAGTCACCAGTTTGCAGCTCCCTGTGTTCAGCTGCCCTGCCAGACCAAAGCGTCACTGATTTTTATGCATTAAGGCCCTTGCAGACACCTGGGGGTATTTTGCGTAAGATGTTTTTGCAGAAGACATCTTAAGGGCCTGTGTTTGAAGTAGTGCTCCGTGCCTCAATTACACACTTCTGCTGCATTCATGGAATAGAGTCTGTTTTGATCATTACTTAATAACTACATTGATCTTGGGCTTTAATCAACTTTTCATCGAGTATTTTGGTCTATATGAATTTGAGCAGGAAAATTTCCATTAGGAAAGGTATTTAACTATGACCATTCTACAAACATGGAAATTATTTTCCCAGTTCTTCTACTCAGGTCATGTGTTTGTTTTGAAAACAACTTCTGCACAAGAAAATAACAGCCTTTTGTTATTGCTTTTGGTTAACCCTTTACTATGCCTTTTGTGTGTATGTATAAAGAAGAGTAAAATAAAAGCACAATTTATTTTTGAAAATCCTGGGTACAGTAAATAAGCTTTCAGCAGATTAGCTGCTAATGGATGGTAACCCCAAACACCAAATGCAACAAAGCTCTGGGAAGGAATGATACGGGGACAGAAAGAGTATTGTCTTCAGACCTGAGGAGCGGAAACACAGGGATTTCGGTTCTCTTCGGCCTTTGTAATTTCATCCTCTTCACAAGTGAGATTTGGTTCTAAAAGAAAAATTAAATAAAGGACACAGCTAAAAATGCACTAACAGCAACTTTGACACAACACACACTCTAAAAGCGCAATGAGGCAGCATTTTAGAAGGCATTTGGCTCTCCTCTGCTCAGCTGCCTGCAAGCAGCTCAGTTGACCAAACTCTTTTACCCTTAGTTGAACAGTTCCAGTTTTCATTTCCACGGTTTCTCCATCCCGACTCCACTCCACACATGGCAATGCTAAAGGCTCCTTCCCTGTTTCCTCTCCCAACAGGAAGCCTCGCTGGCTCCTGGGCCGCGGCTCCTGCGAGCCCGTGGCCACCAGATGGCCCCGTTTTGTCACCCGGCCACAGATGGCCCCGTTTTGTCACCCGGCCGTGCTCTGCACAAGGGGCAGCTGCACAAACAGGCTGTGGGAACAAGGAAGGAGGAGTGAACTGCAGGTTGTGGGGAGTTTGGGCTTTACCCCGTGCAGGTTAGCTCTAGAAGCACAAATGGGCCAAAGATGACGACGATTCAGCCACGGAATAGGCTTTATCAAATAAAAAATACACATAATACTAAAAAATAATACATGTGATTTACCTTCAGCTTGTGAAATATTTACATTTTTCCCTTCTTCCTCTTTATTGTCCAGGGCAGGATCTTCCTATGTTAAAGGAGAGGTCTATCACTTACTGTGCACAAACAAGAGCTCTGCTCACAGATGCAGAGAGCCACATCTTATTAGATGCATTCTCAGTGGAATAAACTGCATTAAAATAATTGAATCTAATACAGAATGTACAGACCAGCTCAGTGTTACTTAATTAGCAATACAAGCATACATTTAATCCACTTATCAAGAAACACACCTGTTCAAACTATGGAAAACATAACAAAGCTATCAGTGCATCCCCTACCACCCTGATATTGCCCATGAAACAGTGAAATCTGTTATCGTGCTCAAATATAACACCTGAAAATACCAACCACGCTCCCGAGAATCTATCAAGGGATGCAGCAGAAGGATTAAGTGCCCTTTGCTGGAACAGGGATCACAAAACACTTCCGTGTGCACACAGGACATGTGAGGTCTTACGTTCGTGCTCTGCTCTTCGGTATCATCCTTGTCCAGTCTCAGTGCCTGCAGTGGCACGCTGGCATCTCCCTGCTTTAGGATGCTTTTATCAACGTTTTCCATTCGCTGCTTTTCCGTTGTCACTTTAACTTTCAGCATGTGAAAAGGCGTTGGCACTTCGCCCACGTTCAGATACATTGGCTCGCCCTCAAATATCATGCCCTCGCACTCGCCTTCCTTGAAGCCAGGAGGCTGGTAGTCGGCTGGGGTAACTGCACAAAGGAACCGAGGAAACGTTACAATGAAGCATTTTCTTGCAGGAGTCGTTTTTGTGCAGAGGAAATATTCCTCTCCTCTCTAAACACAAAGCAGCAGACAAAAGAAGTGGTCTTGGGGAGGAAGGGGATTATAGGTATTTATTTTGAACTAAATGAAGTTCTCTTCCCCTACACACCAGTATCACCTAACAAATACTAACAACCCTAAAGACTATGTATGAAAGTGCTCCTTCAAATTGTTTCCGAACGCCTGTGAGTGCACTCGAGAAATCGAGGGAATAGGGCAAATCCCACCTTCGTCATAATAAAACAGCTTCATGGTCAAGCACACGTCGCTCGGCAGCGGGCCCAGGTTCTGCATGAGCACGTAGATCTTGCGCAGCAGGAGGACGCTCGCCTTCTTGGTGTCCGCACACGAGATGCTGGAATCGGCCCGCTTGTTCCTGCTGCAAACGCACACGCGACTCAGACCCTCCGCACGGGCTCGGGGGTTTGCACTGAAGTGCACAACTGTTCACAACGCTCCAAGTGAGCTGCCTTTTCTACTCTTTTAAAGATCAAAACCACAGAGCAGAAGGAAGGCGAGGTGCAAATACCTGCCGAAGTCCAGGAGGGGCCCGTTGTGGGTGTACTTGAATTTAAAGTGGTAACACTCTGTAATTGTCTACAAACAAACACAGTAATCACAGAACTATCAGTTCTTATGTGAAATACACTACTCCTTTTTGTTCAGCAACCTATTAAGCATGCATATTTTTAAATAAATGCATTAATAGCTCCTAGCTCCTTTTTGATGAGCAGCCTTCTAATGCTTTAACAATTAACCATTTTAATACATACACTATAAAAATATCATCAAACGATTTTTTCTTCCCCTGGGAATCACCACTGTAACACATTTTGAGAAAAAATAAAGTTCAAGTTCAGTTTCTAAAAGGAAAGGTGCAATTCAAATCTTAATCACTACAAAAATATTTCACAGTCATCACAGAGATACGGTGACACCCAGTGGCAGCTTAAAACATAGTTTGTTCCCTGCCAAGAAGTTCCATATATTACGCGGGGTTGGGAAGATGCATCCTTTATGGGCTCCACAAAAAGGCTTGGAGTCTCTTGTATTTTCCTGAGACTAGCCTGATACCAACATTATTTAATTTCTTTTATAAATAAGGCTCTTTTTACATGTGTAAATGCTGCCGCCTGCATGCACATATTTCACTGTAAGGATGAATTAGAAGGACTATCATTAGCCATCCAATAAAACATTCCGTCAGGCTTACCTGTGGATCATCTGGGTGGGTGTAGACCTGGATTTTTAAAACAAAGGCAAGAAACAGTTTAAAAAACGTGGAATATCTCAGTATTTACTTTAAAATGTGGGCTGTGCTTTTCAGAGATACTTACCGCGAGGACAATCATTCTTAGCTGTTGGGAACACCATGAAAGAATAAAAAAAGCATTAAACATTTCATAGACCACTACTTGCTTATTTCTTTAGCTCTGCAAACCATAGGCCACTACAGTCCCGTTTTAAGCAAACTTTTCGCATGCAATTCCTGACCTGGTTAAAAGTACTTGCTCAATTCCCTGAAGAAAATTCCTAGTTCTCCCAATTTTGAAGTATTTTTGCTTCCAATGAACATTTTCCTGATGCGTGTGTACCCCACGTATTGTTAACGTTTAAAGCATAGTTATTCCAAACCCAAATAGTCCTGTAGCTACCACGGCAGCTAGTGGAATTACATAAATTCTTCAATGAATTTAAATTATAGTGGAAGACTTACGTATTTCTTCTGCAAGGCATCATAGCATCCTAACATCCTGCAAAAATCAAACATTGTCCATCTACTACTCACTTTGCTTCTGATTAAATATTCCCACAAAATGAAATTCTTGTGTTTAGTCTTAATAGTAAATCACGGAAGTAATAAACAATGTTAACTCCATTATTCTGCCTTTTTATTAGTAGTAGTAGATAAGAAATGGTGCTGCTTTTCCTTAAACAAACCTGAGAGCAAGACCTTCAAATACAAGATACAAGGAAGGTAATAGGTTTAACTTTCATGAAAACACTCAAATTCAGCTATAAACACTTTAAAGCTGTTGCACAGGCACTGGAATTACATACCACTTCACCAGCTGAGTTGATCCAGGACAGTTTTTGTCTTCCCTCAAAATTTTGACACACAGATCTTGAAACAAACATTAAAAAAAAAAAACACCAAAAAGTTATAATACTTAGTTAATGCAATTACAGCACTAAGAAAACAAGTTCATTCTCTAAAACTCTATGCCAAAGAACACACTAAAATTTATACTACTTACAGGTTTAGGCATAATTTTAACTGCTAAGTCAACTTCCCCACTATCTTTAACAGACCCCAGCAATTACTGTATTACCACTTTCAATTGCAGTAACAAAACTTTACTACTATCTTTAATTTGAAAGAGCACGGGGCTTCCAAAGCACTTGTTTAAGCTTCGCATCACCCCTACGACACGAGACGGTGCAGAGAAGTCTCCAGAAGGGCCTGTTACCATCCAAGTATCTTGTTCCGTAGGCGCTTTCAGGGAAGATTCCTCTTAGATACGTAATGCAGGATACAGCTACTGCGAGGAGCCTCTTCACTAGTATCAACGACTGCTGTTCCGTAGAGATTTTGTTAGGAAATACAACCGCATTCTGAAAGCAAGAGAAAAGTATTAGTCCCCTGGTCTCTGCAACAGTGAACTTTTGTTCACATTTGAAAACAAATGAAAAAAGCTTTTTTACCTCGTTAGCTCGGTGTACATTCTTCATAGAATCATTTAAGGTTGGAAGGGACCTTTAGAGATCACCTAACCCAGCCTCCCCTGCACACACAGGGTCACAAAGAGCCACTTTGGCTACTAAACATTTCTCTACTCATTCCCTTACCAAGCATCTCTTAGGTTAGCCGTGCTTTCCAGGTGCATAATGCTTACCAAGCACTACAATCCACTTTTTTTTCCAGAATCAAAATAATATACCATGTTGAAATACACCATAAAATCATACCATCACACTCCTCTGCTTCTGAGCGGTCGCCATTTTGCTGATACTGTCTGATGAAAAAGAAAAAAGGAAAAAAAATGTATTGGCCCCTGTGCCACCACTATCCACCAGCGCACACAAGCCCGGATTGTGGAGAGTTTTGATCAGTCAGTCCCTAAGAGCCTCCTTGCACAGTGCGAGTGATCGAGATGCTTCATTTAATTCTAGATTCTGGTCTTTCACTCGAAGTGTGTAAAGGGGAAGCAGCCAGGCACGGCTGAGCGGAGCCCAGCTGCAGCCCAGCCGCCTCCTCCCCGCAGCGCAGCCTCCGCGCGGCCCCCGCAGCTCCACAGCGCTCCGCGTGCTGCCACAGGACGCGCCGACGCATGAGCTGGCACCAAGCCCGACAGATCTTCAAAGGCCCCTGCAAGATGCTCCCCACCCTGGAGCCTGAGCAGGCAGATGCCCTTTGCTTAGGCCCCCACCAGCACTGCTATAAGGCTCAGCAGTGCACAAGACCCTTCCCCAGCACTGTCTCCCCCACAGAAAACAGCCCGCCATGTTGGTGAGGGAAATGGCCGCCAACAACCAGGGGAGAACCAAGGCAAGGGGAGCAGAAGCCAACGAGTGTGCAGGAAAGGGCCATCCTCTGCCTCATCACCAACACAAAGGGGCAAAGAAGAAAACTGCGGGGCCACGCGGGGAAGAAAAGCGCCGCCATCTGCAGACAGGCGGAACCGACACCTCACACGGCGCCGGTCGCCCCGGCTCCCTTTTTTCCCCTTTTCCTGCTGTTTTTGCCCCTTTCCTACTTCTCAGCCCTGCTTTTTTCCTCTCAGTGCCCCGAAAGGAGAAAGAATGTTAATAGTAATAATGTCTGCTCCTTCACACCTCCCTCTGGTGCTCCTCATGCCCCCTCTCCAGGGCTTTCCTCCCCATTTTATGACCCCATAGCTATTTAATGAGCAAAACGATAATATATATTACTCTTGCCATCCACGTACACAATGCAGCTCTGGGGGGGCTCTCTTAAGAACGGGTCCAACAGGGCATTTTTGCTCAATTCCATTTTTGCAAGGATTAGATTCATCTGGGGATGCTGACACGGAGAGTGACCAAACACGGGACTTTCAGACAATGATGCTGATCTTTATTTTTTTTCAAAGAAAGTCTGCAGTTTCAGCTACATTCGTTGCACGGGCATAGAGTGAGATCTGTGTCATAGTGGCAGTACTGAGGGCTGGAGAACCCGCAGATACTGCAGTTTCACTTGGGAAAAGGTCTTTTTTCCCCCCCAAAGAGCACACAGTAAATGCCCATAAATCATATTCCGGGATCCTTCCATCGCTCCCATGCAAAGCTTCCCTCGCTGCCTGTAACACAGGCTGCTCCAATGGGAGGACTTTGCCCATAAAGAGACAGAAAATCATTCTCGAAGGCAGTGGATTCATGCAAGCAAAACATCATGATTTAGTTGGCGTCTCAGAAGTCCACTTTGCAGCCAGGACTCCGTCTATATCACTGGATAAGAGCCGTAGCTGGCGATCCCGCAGTGATTTCCGTGGTTTCTAGCCATGCGGATGTAGCCCTTGTCGCCGAAGTACTCGCCCCAGCTTTGCAAAGAAGGAAAAAACAGACGGTAGAAAAATTATATTTTTTTTCCTGCAAGTGAGATGCAGCCTTATCAACATCACAATGTTTTTGAGGTCCTTTTCCTAGAGGTTTCTACAGGAAGACGATGAAACAAAACCATTCAGGCCTCCTCGTTTCCAGGATGCTGTTTTAATTGTTTCAAGAGTTTTAAACTCCATATGGGGTTACTACAGCACCTTCTAATAAGTTCCCTATAAATAGAGGGAACTTACAGTGAGTTTAAGTGTATTTTAAATGCACTTAAATTTCCTTAACACTGGTGGAATGTCATAATAGTGCCTTGACATGGTGAAGCCTGAATCCCTAGAGAGCTTGTTAAGGACTAACATGAACATCCCCCTATATAACCATTCCCCTTAGCCAAGCATCTCCCTGCAGATCTGTGCTTTTACCTGTTTTTCACAAGCCAGTAATCCTTGCCATCGAGAGTGCCATATCCGATGACAAGCACGCCGTGATTCACCTCCTGGGTGCACCGGGGGTCATCGTACACCCCTGAAAATAACGTAAAGAAACGCCAGATTTGGGGAAAGCGTCGTCCGACCACATCTCTGCACAGGCGTCTTGGTGGGATTGAGTTCAACCCCCAACACCCGCGCTGTATCAACACCTTCACGTAGGAACTAGGCCAAAGCTTGCCGAATTCAACCCAGATGTAGGTTCTGCAAGGTTTACGTTCAAGGAAACGGGGAAAACGTGGCTGTGGCCCTTGACGAGAGGGACGTACCTGACTTGTACAAGAAGAAGGTTGGCTGGGTGGCGTCGATGGCGACCGACACGGGGCCCACGTTGGCCACGGCGTCCTTGAGGGCCGCCTCGTCGGCGTAGGGCAGCTCCACGTACTTGGAGCAGGTGGCCGCGCGCGTGGACACGTTGTATTGGCACGTCCCGTTCTGCCGGGAGGGAGGGGGTGGCAGGAGGGGACCCCGCGGCTCCACGGGGACGTCGGTGCCCTTTGCCAGCCCCCCTTCCCCCTGCGGCATGGACGGGACCATCCCGCCCAACACCCTTCCCCAACCACCAGGATAAGCGAAGCCGTTTTGCCCAAAATCTCCGCCTTGTTGCTAGAAACCTTCAGCGACAGCTTTTCTACCACTTCCCCAAAGCTGCTGCTTCCCATCAGCTGCTCCTGGTGTTCAGCCTCTATCGCAGACGAAGCCCGTGTCTTCTCCTTCCCATTGCGGACAGCATCGGCTCCTCGGGAATAACCCAGGGAGCAGAGCGGGAGCCAGGGCCCCTGCCTCGTCCTCTACTTTGCAGCACGGTGCCTCCCGCTCCATCGGGAAGCAAACGTGGAGACCCCTCGTGTCCGAACGCCTTCCCCCCTGTCCAACCTGCGCCGTGTAGGGGTAGGCGGCGTCCGAGTCGATGCCCTGGTTGTCGATGATGTACTGGAAGGCCCTGGTCATGAAGCCGCCGGCGCAGCCCTTGTTGCCGTACATGACGGAGCAGTCGACGAGGTTCTGCGCGCTCAGCGACACGAGGCGGCCCGTGCGCAGCTGGAGCTGCCCCTCCAGGGCGCCCACGGCGCTGAACGCCCAGCAGGCCCCGCACGCGCCCTGCGGGGACGGGGACGCGCTGAGCGGCGGCCGGGGGGCGCGGGGGGCGCGGGGGACGCGGGGGGGCATTGGGAGGCGGGGGGGGCACCGGGGGCGCGG